CTGTGAGGTTGGGCTGTGCAACCACAGGTCACACAGCAGTCTGCTCTAAAAGATCCTGAATGATTTCCAGTCAGACTCCTCGTGGTCCTCACATGATCCGAAACATCACTGCACCAGATGCTTGCTTTTATCTTTTTTTTTTTAATAAACCTTTATTGTTCATATTATTACAAAAGTTCCTCATTTTTCCCCCTCCACCAGGTTCCTACCCCATCCTCTGCCCTCTCCCCACCCCCCTCTGATGCTCGATTTTAAAATGAGGCGTTTGACAGGGCTCCCCAGGGTCACGCACCACGCGGGGGTGGGGGTGGGGGGGGGAACGGGGACGGGAAACCCTAGGACTTGATGTATTAGCAACATCAACTGGTTTTTATCACACTGAAATGGAGGCAGCCGGTCTGCACTGCCGTGGAATTAAAGGTGATTCAGAAGTAGGGTGGTTATTTATTGTTCTGTTAGGATAGACCCCAAAAATGACTTTTCAGAAACCAGGGCAGCCCCTGCAGCCCCAGCCGGACTGCGGGCCGCTTGGGGGGATGAAGCCAGGGCGGCCTCGGCTCGTTCACAGTGTTCTGGCTCTGCTTCTAGGAGTGCGGCCAGGGCCGCCTACACCCTGTAGTTGAGGTCGGCGTTCATCTTGGTGTACATCTCGTAGATGACTCGATGGTGGCCGTGTAGTTGACCAGGAAGAGGTGGACCTTCTCCAGGCACTCCTCCTCCTCCGTCACGTTCTGGCCCTTGGAGAGCGCCTTCAGGAAGTCGGACTTCTAGGGCGCGGCGCGGCCTGGAAGATCTGCACGATCCAGCCGTGGTACTTCTTGAGTGCCATCTCGTAGGCCTTGGTGGCGTTGATGCGGATGAGTTTGGGGTGGCTCTCGTCCCGCTCGCCGTCGCAGATGCTCTGCAGGAAGACCTGGGTGAAGCAGAGGCCCCTTTTCAGCCACATCAGCGCCAGCGTGGCCTCCACTTTGGGCCACTCCGCTCCATACATCTCCTTCTCCGCCTTGGGCGGCAGGTAGGACACCGCCTCCAGGAAGGGCCCGGTCTCGATCTGCTTGTCCGCGGGCAGTGGCTTCAGCAGGTGCTCGGCCAGCAGCGCCATTTCGGGGTCGAGGCCAGAGGTGATGCCCCAGCCGGTGCCGCGGGCGTCCGCGCACCCCCCCCCCCACCCACCCACCCACCCACCGCAGTCCGCGCAGGGCCGTCTCTGCCGCCCGCTGCCTCCCTCCGCCGCCTCCGGGGACACCAGCGTCGCCACTTCGGCCCGCCGCGCCGTCCGCGGAGCCGAGCGCTCGTATTATTTTATTTTTATTTTATTTTATTTTATTTTATTTTAAATATATTTTTATTGATTTTCTACAGAGGAAGGGAGAGAGATAGAGTTAGAAACATCAATGAGAGAGAGTCATCGATCAGCTGCCTCCTGCACACCCCCTACTGGGGATATGCCCGCAACCGAGGTACATGCCCCTGACCGGAATCGAACCCGGGACCCTTCAGTCCCCAAGCCGACGCTCTATCCATTGAGCCAAACCGGTCTCGGCTTATTTTTAATTAAAATAGTAAAAATGGTTGAAAACATATAAGAACATATAAAATTATTTAAGAAGATATAAAAGGAGGTATAGAGCATATTAAAGTGAATATCCATGAATCTACCAGCCACTTTTCATACGAGAGGAACCTTCCATATTTATCACACAAATTGCATCCTTCTTCCCTCAGCAGAGGTAGTATCTGAATTCTGTGTTAATCTCTCTTTTGGATTTCTTCATAATTTACTATTGCTTTGACTACTCTTGAGCTATATAAATTGTATCAATCTGAAGGTATTCTGTAATTTACTTTTAAAAAATCTTTATCGTTGAAAGTATTACATATGTCCCCCTTTTTCTTTCATTGACCTCTTATACCGCCCCTGTTCCCACCCCAGGCCTCCACCACCCTATTGTCTGTGTCCATGGGTTATGCATGTATGTATACAAGTTTTTTGGTTGATCCCGTCAGCCCACCTCCACTTCCCTCTAAGAATCGTCAGTCTGTTGCATGCTTATATGTCTTTGGGTCTATTTTGTTTGTCAGTTTATTTTGTTCATTAAGATTCCATATATAAGTGAGATCATGATACTTGTCTTTCTTTGATTGGCTTATTTCGCTTAGCATATTTTCCAGGTCCCTCCATGTTATCTCCTATATTACAGCTGCATATAGGAGTGCTCATCTACTTATGAGCACTTGGGCTGTTTCCAGATCTTAGCTATTGTAAATAATGCTGCTATGAATATACAAGTGTGTAGAGGGGGATCCATTTTCTGAGTCCAGCACGGATAGAAGGCGATCCGATTCCTGAGTAGGGGCGACAGGGGATTGAGAAAATGAGAGACAGGCACAGATGCAATAGGAAAAGCTGGGACCGGACTGATGGAGAGACAGGGACCCAGAGCCGTTGCAGCACATTTATTTTATACCACCAAATACCAGTAAGTTTTACTAAAAGTCAAGACAAAGGAGATTGTTTGCATTCTATGGTGGGCCCAGTCCATATTCATTCCTGGTGCTTGGCTGGATTTACATAATAAAACCCACTTCCAGGCACCTGGTCTGAAGGTCAGCTGACTACACCCTTGCCTTTTGGCAAACCAGACATCACTGGATTCAGCTGACAATTTAAAGAAATGCCCAAGTGCCTTCCCAAGCACTCTTTACACAAGTGCATATATTCTTTCTGCTTGGTGTTATTGGCTTCTTAGGATATATTCCTAAAATTGGAATCACTGGGTCAGAGGGCAGTTACTAGATATATAGATATATAAATTTTTATTGATTTCAGAGAGGAAGGGAGAGAGATAGATAGACAGAAACGTCAATGGTGAGAGAGAATCATTGATTAGCTGCCTACAGCACACCCTACATTAGGGATCAAACCCGCACCCTGGGTTTGTGCCTTGACCAGGAATCAAACAAACCGTGACCTGGTTCATAGGTCGACTCTCAAAATTTTTGAGGAAATGGACACTGTTTTTCATAGTGGCTGTACCAGTCTGCATTCCCACCAGCATTGTACTAGGGTTCCTTTTTCTCCACAGCCTTGTTGATTGATTTATTGATGGAAGCCATTTTGGCAGGTGTGAGGTTGTACCTCGTTTTAATTTGCATCTCTCTGATGATTAGTGAACTGAAGCATTTCTTCATATGTCTCTTGGCCATTGTCTGTCCTCTTCGGAGAAATGTCTATTTAGGACCTCTGCCCATTTCTTAATTGGATTGTTTGTCTTTTGTTGAGCTGTATGAGTAGTGTATATATTTTTAAGTTTAGCCTCTTATCAGATATATCACTGGCAAATATTGTCTCTCATAGTGTTGGTTCCCTTTTTTCTTTTCTTTTTTTATGGCATCTGCTCTAGGAGAGGCCTCGGGGGTTATACCACCAGTGACCGTAGGAGCCAGCAGTTTCGCTCCTATATACTTACTTATCCTGGGAAATGAGAACATATGTCCATTCAAACATGTGCAGGGATGTTCATCATATCGAAATGTGGAAACTGCCCCTAAGCCCACCAGGTGTGGGTGGGTAAACAAATCCGGTGTGCCTACCCAATAGGATATGTTTGGTAATAAAGAGGATGCCCCAGCATGGTGGGCTAAGAGAACAGGCTGCCCTGTAAAAGAAGCCTGTCATCCCAGCCACACATTGTGCGAGTCCATTTAGTGAAATGTGCAGAGTAAATAAATCCAGAGACACGGAGACCAGACTCGTGGCTGCCTGGGCCTGGCAGGGAGGCACGGAGGGGGTGGGGGGCGCCGCACAAGCAACACCCACTGATGGGCACGAGGTCCAGTTATGTCTGAAAAGCTGCACCACCAGACTAGACGTGATGTGGCTCATGGAACTGAAGGTTCACAAGCTAGGGATGTGGCCTAGGTGGGTCCTCAGATGGGTCCTGCCACCTCTGAGGGATTTCACACCCACACCCTCCTGCCCAGACGCACCCACAAGAACAGGGCAGCAGCACTTCCAGAGAATGGAAAGAAACGTCCACAAAACAGCACTATTTCTGTCCGCTTTCCTTTTACTAAATGCCTGGGAGCTGATACCTTGTGTTCATGACCCTCCAGGGAACTAGAAGTCCCCACGTGAAAACTCTCATCTCGTCTGTTACTCCTTTGCCTTAAATCCCCTTTTTCTGCCAAAACCAGTTTGGCTCAGTGGATAGAGCATCGGCCTGCAGACTGGGGGATTCCGGGTTGTTTCCGGTCAAGGGCATGTGCCTTGGTTGCGGGCACATCCCCAGTAGGGGGTGTTCAGGAGGCAGCTGATCGATGACTCTCTCTCATTGATGTTTCTAACTCTCTATGCCTCTCCCTTCCTCTCTGTTAAAAAAAAAAAAAAAAAAAAAAAAAAAAAAAAAAAAAAAAAAAATCAATAAAGAAGAAGAAGAAGAAAGCTCCCAGATTTATTTAATTTCCAGACCCACCTTCATTTGCCTTGGCAGGGCCAGGTTAAATGACTTAGTGTGCTGCACATTTCCCACCTCTGCTCTACTGAGTTGTTTTTTGCATTTTTTTTGAAAACTTAGTTGGCTACACTTGTGTAAGTCTATTTCTGGGTTCTGTTGCATTGATCTGTGTGTCTATCCTTTCATCACCGCCACCCAGTCTTGCTTATGATAGCTATATAATTGGTTTAACTCCATATTCTTTGAAATCTTTCGCAGATGAAAGGGTTTATGACTTTATGTTATTTATTAGTAAGTCATATCAAAAGTATAGTATTTCACTAAATCTCATCATAAAATAATCTAATTTTAAGAATAAGTATCATCTTTAGGCCCAACTCCTAAATTTTACTTTTAGGTCTCTCAAATTTCCTGTGGAACTCTACTTGTTAGTCTTACTGTTATGTTGCCTAGATAAAAGAAACTTTATATGACAAGTTTACTTTTTTAATCTTTTTTTTACATGACAAGTTTAGAACGGCATGTTCCCTTTGTCTTTTTTAGATGGTGTTATCTGAAAAGGTTAGTCAACTGATGGAATGGACCAATAAAAGACCCGTAATAAGAATGAATGGAGACAAGTTCCGTCGCCTTGTTAAAGCCCCACCAAGAAACTACTCCGTTATTGTCATGTTCACTGCTCTCCAACTTCATAGACAATGTGTCGTGTGCAAGTATGAACCTTCAACTACACTTTAAAGTTAAATAACTTATAAGATTTTAACCATTTTTCAATTCCAGAGAACTAAATTATTTTAGTGGGTACATAATGTGTATATCTTACTTAAGATATTTATACAATACTACTGTTCTTTTATAGTCACTTCTTGGTTGTCCATATTAGTAGTGGGAACAAAGAGCATGAATAAAGTATTGGAGCCACCAGGAATAAATCTAAATTATCTTCTAAATTGGTGTCAACTTATATAAATGTATGACAATAGCATTGATGTAGTGTTTTATTATTTGTGTTTTCAACTTCATACTCTTGTTTTATCACAGCAGCCCCAGAAGGTAGTAAAGCAAATATTCTTTCATTTTGGGAAAAACAAGTTCTAAAATTTTAACTGGTCTACCCAAAGATAGAGAGATTTATTAATACAATAATGGTGACTGCATCCAAGTTTGGAATTACAAGAGAACTTTTTTAGAAAATAAAGATGCATGATTTATGGTAGAGATGTTTCTTTTTTTTCTAGATTATTTTGTAGTGATTCTAGGTCACTTTCACATAAACTTTCATTAAATAATGGTTTATTGATTTATTTTACTGTTTCTGAATGATCTTAGTAATAAAGATTGATATTTCTTCAAACAAAAATGCTATGAATTGCCGAAACCGGTTTGGCTCAGTGGTAGAGCGTCGGTCTGCAGACTGAAAGGTCCCAGGTTCGATTCCGGTCAGGGGCATGTAGGTTGGTTGCCTGCACATCCCCAGTAGGGGGTGTGCAAGAGGCAGCTGGTCTGTGTTTCTCTCTCATCGACTTTTCTAGCTCTCTATCTCTCTCCCTTCCTCTCTGTAAAAAATCAATAAATATACATTTTTAAAAATATTTATTAAAAAAATACTATGAATAATGAAAAATAGAGGCCAAGACTGGTTTGGCTCAGTGGATAGAGCATCGGCCTGTGGACTGAAGGGTCCCAGGTTTGATTCCGGTCAAAGAGCATGTACCTTGGTTGCGGGCACAGCCCCAGTAGTGGGTGTGCAAGAGGCAGCTGACCGGTGACTCTCTCTCATCGATGTTTCTCTCTATTCCTCTTTCTTCCTCTCTGTAAAAAATCAATAAAATATATTTTAAAAATAATGAAAAATAGTGGATTTTTAGCTTTTTGTGGGTTTTTGTGTGTTTTTTTAAAAAAATATATTTTAAAATCAGTATGTGTGATCTGACAATTTACTTTAAATGAAATGACAAAGCAGTCCTGTGAAGAATTAATTTAGTAAAAACCTTCTCTCTGATCATTGATGTTTCTATCTCTTTCTCCCTCTCCCTTACTCTCTCTGAAATCAATAAAAACATTTTTTTAAAATTGTGGTAGAGACAATTAGGTGGATTTTCCAGTGATTACTAAAGGGCTTTAAGATAAGAAATAGGCACAAAGTATGAGATATAGACAGGTAATTACTACTTTCTATTGAAATCTCCAAACAGTTGGGATAAGACTTCTCTTATGCCAAAACAATGACAGACTTAGTCAGCAGAGCCTGACTTGCCCCCCACCATTGGAAAATTACTGTTGAGTCTTTGGATCTGTGTTACTTCTAATAAACTAGATTGCTTTTTAAAATGTTTTATATTTTATTTTCACAAATCTGATTATATCCAGGCAAGCAGATGAAGAATTCCAGATCCTGGCAAACTCCTGGCGATACTCCAACGCCTTTACAAACAGGATATTTTTTGCTATGGTGGATTTTGATGAAGGCTCTGATGTATTTCAGATGGTAAGATCTTTGGTTTATTCTATTAAGTAGGAATAGGCAAACTACGGATAAAGTTTAATGGCCATCTTTTTAATGGCCACAACAAGTTAAATATGACTTGTTTTATGTAAGATCTAGAGTACTTAGTAAAATAAAAACTGAACCTGAGGTAGCCATGAAATGTAATAGTCAGTGCTTAACCTAATAGAATATGGAAATTGGGTTGTAATCAAGTAATAGACACACACACAATTGTGGTAAATATACATAATAAAAATTACCATTTAAACTATTTTAGTTGACAATTTATCAAGTAACTTTTTAAATCACAGCATTAATCCATCATTATACCATCACTGTAATATTGAAGTTTTTAGTCGAGTTAGGTACTGTACTTAATCATTACCCCCTGCTTCTTTTTTTTTTAAAATATATTTTATTGATTCTTTACAGAGAGAAAGGGAGAGAGATAGAGAGCTAGAAACGTCGATGAGAGAGAAACATCGACCAGCTGCCTCTTGCACATCCCCTACTGGGGATGTGCCCGCAACCAATGTACATGCCCTTGACCGGAATTGAACCTGGGACCTTTCAGTCTGCAGACCGACGCTCTACCACTGAGCCAAACCGGTTTCGCCTTCTTTCTTGTCTTAGTAGAAAAGCTCCTTGTTCAAAGCTTCACCCCTTTCCTGTGCCCTGGACCCCATAGTGTATGAGCTCCGTCAATCATGACCTCTCTCACCTATATTTTCTTAATTGATTTCAGAGAGGAAGGGAGAGGAGGAGAGATAGAAACATCAGTGATGAGAGAGAATCATTGATCAGCTTCCTCCTGCAAGCCCCATGTTGGGGATTGAGCCCACAACCTGGGCAAGCTGCAACCAGGAATCGAATCGCGACCATTGAATCATGCTGGCCGGACAGTTGCTTAATTTTTTTTCTTAATTTTTAAAAAATTTATTTTTATTGACTTCAGAGAGGAAGGGAGAGAGAAAGATAGAAACATTGATGATGGGAGAAAATCATTTATTGGTTGCCTCCCACATGCCCCACAATGGAGATTGAGGCTGCAATCTGGGCATATGCCCTGACCAGGAATCAAACCATGACCTCCTGGTTCATAGGTCGATGCTCAACCACTGATCCACACCATTCAGTCTCACCTGCATTTAAAAAAAAAATGAAGTGTATTTACCCAGCTGGTGTGGCTTAGTGGTTGAGCAGAAAGCAGCTGATCAGTGATTCTCTCTCATCATTGATGTTTCTATCTCTATCTCTCCCTCTCCCTTCCTCTATCTGAAATCAATAAAAACATTTTTTTACAAGTCCATAGGATTTGGTAGCCAAAAAGCTAATCTATTAATTCCCTGTATTATACTGCCAGGGAGACCAAAGTAATCATATCCACTAATTAGTATACCCTCTCCACTATGGATAAGTCTAAATAACTATGTCTAGAAGGGTTTTATTGTGAGTACAGAGTCAAAACAAGGAAGTTGGGTTATTATATTGGCGGATATCTTTTAATTATAATTGTTTTATACTAGCTAGTCTTCATTTTAGGGTTACCTGCTGAGTGAACCTGAATGCTTGCATCTGATGTCCATCATTTTTCCCTGGACTTAGGCAGACTTTCTGTTTTTCACAAGAACAATTAGGTCAGGAAAGATAGAATGCAGATAAGTCAGTCATGGTTTCTTTATTTTAGCAATTTCATTGTTGTCTTCTTAAACATATCTTGGTTTCATCATAGAGTATTGAGAACTGTGGTGCTTCTCAGTAAACATTTATGAACCTTTTAGAATTAACTATTCTGCTGATGGCTACCATTTTGTATTGGTTTTCATTGCAATGTCAGAGCCCTATTTTAGTTTCTTTCTAATTGAGAATGTACTCTATTTGGATCTTGCCTCAGCTACATAAGAGTTTTAGTTCTAATAAATGCATTCTTTTTTGCATAATCTCAGAACAGATTAAAATGTTGATGGTATGGGCGATTTTCCATTCTGAAGGAATAAAACGTAGGTTTCTTAGCTAGGAGTTTCTATTTGGTCAGCAGTATGCTAATTAACGTTACAGGCAGCCTTGGATTTGAATCCTATCTCTGCCATTTACCATTTTCCTCAGGCAAGTCACTTAACCTACTTAAACCTGGGCTTCCTCATCTTCATAAAATGCCTAATTTTCAAGATAATATTTGCTGTTACTTCCTTTCCTTGATAACTTATATTTTCATGGACTACTTTTAATTTAGCTAAACATGAATTCAGCTCCAACTTTTATCAACTTTCCTGCAAAAGGGAAACCCAAAAGAGGTGATACGTATGAGTTGCAGGTGCGTGGTTTTTCAGCTGAGCAGATTGCCCGGTGGATTGCTGACAGAACTGATGTCACTGTAAGTTTCCCTACTTTGTAGAAAGTTACTTTGCCATTATTCACTTGGAATCTTATCATTGAGGTGGTAATAAGTAGTTTGGCAGTCCCTTCATAAGTAGCATTTAACAGAATCATCATGATGAAAGAGTAAAATTACAAAACATCCTTTGTTATTGAATTCAGAATAGAAACCACTCTTTTGACATTATTATTATAAGTATAGATTTTCTAGTTGTACTTGGCAAATACTTATTAATGAAAGGAATTATGTTGTGGTTAAGCAGAATATTGTACTTACTCCATCCCATTTTAAGATACATTGTAGAGCCAAGCATGTAGAATTTCATGATTAGGATGAAAATAAAAAATATTTTTCTCTCCTTCCTATTAGATTAGAGTAATAAGACCTCCAAATTATGCTGGTCCCCTTATGTTGGGATTGCTTTTAGCTGTTATTGGTGGACTTGTGTATCTCCGAAGAAGCAATATGGAATTTCTCTTTAATAAAACTGGATGGGCTTTTGCAGCTTTGGTGAGTACATTTTAGAAAAAAATTACATGAATAAAACTAATATTGTATTGGTAGGTAGCATTTTGTTTATTTCTTACTGTAGAGAGGATTTTATTTTATGCCTTAAAATCAGTTTGTCTCCTCCATTATATCATTAGGATGGCCAGAGCTTGGAGAGTACCTAGTTTTTTGTTCAACCTAAGTGATAGACTGTCACCTCTAGAAAATCTTCAGTTTTTTTCAAATTATTATTTTAAAGGTCTTTTCAATATTCAATTTTAAAACTTGTATTAACTTATTTATAATTTTTAAATGTGTTTTCCTTTTGAAGTAAATATTTATTCTTGTGATCCTTGTGAAATATAAGCCTTATTAAGAAATAATTTGCCGAAACCGGTTTGGTTCAGTGAACAGAGCATCAGCCTGTGGACTGAAGGGTCCCAGATTCGATTCCAGTCAAGGGCATGTACCTTGGTTGCGGGCACATCCCCAGTGGGGGGTGTGCAAGAAGCAGCTGATCAATGTTTCTCTCTCATTGATGTTTCTAACTTATTATCCCTCTCCCTTTCTCTCTGTAAAAAAATCAATAAAATATTTTTTAAAAAGAAATAATTTATCTGAAAAAATATGTTCTTCATATATTACTTAAGCAGATGTACTTTTCATATGCCTATCAATTTAATCAAGGTGGAAACAACTGCATTATGTTAAATAGTATGTCATTATCTTTTGTTTCCTAGTGTTTTGTGCTTGCTATGACATCTGGTCAAATGTGGAATCATATAAGAGGACCACCATATGCTCATAAGAATCCCCACACAGGACATGTGGTAAGGAAAGTCCAGGATTTCTTTTCATTGTATACCACAGTTAACCTTAATAATGATTAGCCTGTGAGACCAGTGTCAGCATATGAGAGAACTAGATTTAGTTTTGGATTTTCAATCTTTCTGTTTACGAGCTTCAGTTGCTGAAAAGAAGATGCAGTGCTCTTAAAAGTTCTTTATACTATTTGTTGTGTCCTTTTGAATTATCTAGCTAAGAATGAAAGTCATCCTTCAGCTAAATACAATATTTGATCAAGTACTTGAGCCTCTACTGTTTCTAGGCACTGTGCTATATATTATTAGATATAGTGATAAACAAGAAAAATATGATCCCTGTCATCCTGGAGCTTACATTATGTACCTCACAGTTTTATATACTGAAATACTAGTTTTCTCATGATTCTGTTGTTGAAAAGACAGTATAAGTACAATGAAAAAATAAAAATTTTAAATAACACAGAAATAGCTTTTATTTATGTTGAATGCAACAGACCTGATGCTTACATATATAAGGTGAATCAATTTTATAGAGTTTGAAAATAGCCCATTTTAGGATTAAGATACCAATACATAGATTTATTTAATGTATATTTAAAGTCTTAATTTTGTCTCTTTTTTTCCTCCCAGAATTATATCCATGGAAGCAGTCAAGCCCAGTTTGTAGCTGAAACACATATTGTTCTTCTATTCAGTATCCTCTTTAAAATAAGCCCTTGGTGCTGAGTTTTTGTCTTTTTTTTCACATTATAGTATTCTCTGTACAGTTTGGTTGAGGCTACTCTCTTATTAATACAAGTCCTAATATCTTTGTAATCATATTACTATATCATCTGTCTTTAGCCTGATCAACTGAAGACCACCAGGGACAAACCTGCCGTCTGATAAAGCCAGGTTTATTGGCTCTTGCTATAAGGTAGATTGCATGTCAGGGGAACCAAGGGACATCTTACCTTAGGAAAGATAGGGTTCTAGGATTTGGGTAAGGAGTGGGGCTTATGTGAAATGTAGATGAAGCAATGTCTTGATAAACTCAAAGCATTACCTGGCTAACTGTAAAGGGGTCAGCCTCAGGTTGGGACTGTGAAGTGGACAGGGTTCTGTTTCTTGGAAACTACAAATTTTAGATAAATGTGGGATTGTTGTCTTCAGAACTCTTTATCTGAAGCTCTGTACTACTTAAAAATTTTACTTGTAGCCTACCTGTCTTGGCTCAGTCAGTGGTTGAGCGTCGACCTATGAACTGGATCACAAACTGGATCACGGTTCAATTCCAGGTCAGAATGTGCAAGCTCGATCCACAGTAGGGGGCGTACAGGAGGCAGCCAGTCAATGATTCACTCCCATCATTGATGTTTCTTTCTCCCTTTCCCTTCCACTCTGAAATAAATAAAAATACATTTTAACAAAAAAATTTATACTTGGAAATTGAGGGACTTTTATCCTCCAGGCAGGAATGGAATGTTTAATATGAATCAATGTATGATTTCAGAGAACAGTGTTCTTCATTCAGTAAGAAACCAGTAGTTTAAGTACTATATAAAGAAAAAAGTCAGCCCTAACCAGTTTGGCTTAGTGGACTGAAGGGTCCCAGGTTCAGTTCTGCTCAAGAGCATGTACCTTGGTTGCAGGCACATCCCCATTAGGGGGTATGCAGCTGATCATGCTTCTCTCTCATAGATGTTTCTAACTCTCTATCCCTCTCCCTTCCTCTCTGTAAAAAGTCAATAAAATATATTTTTTTAAAAAGGAAAAAAAAGTCAAAACCCCTGGAAATACCACCTTTAGTAAATGTTCATGTATAGGGTGGGCAAAAGTAGGTTTTAGTTATTCATGATAAATACAATAATTAATAAAAAAACAATATAAGAATAAACTGTTTCACATACAACTATAAACCAACTTTTGCCGACCCCTTGTAAATCATTCCCCATTTTATGTCAGTAATTTTTTAAAATATATTTTTATTGATTTCAGAGAAGAAGGGAGAGGGAGAGAAAGAAACATCAATGAGAGAGAATCATTGATTGGCTGCCTCCTGCACACGCCCCACTGGGGATTAAGCCCACAACCTGAGCATGTGCCCTTGACTGGAATCAAATTCAGGACCCTTCAATCCATAGGCTGATGCTCAATCCACTGAGCCAAATTGGTTAGGGATATGTCACTGATTTAATAGAGATGTTTTAAGGAAAACATTCTGGGGGAAAAATTTAAGTCTTTTTTTTTTTTTTTAGAACATTTGGGGAAATTATATTTTCTTAAAACAATATTATGTAATATGAAAAATAAATATACCTGCTTAAAATTCAGTCTGTAGTCAGAAAACTTCATCTATTCAGCCGTGGAATGGTGAGCTGAAAAGTATAATATGTAATAAGTTCCAATGATGAGAAAGAAGATTGAAAAAAATATATTACCTTCATGTTTTTTTTCTTCAATTCTAAAATTTATTTATTTTTATTCAATTTATTTAAACTGAAAAACAAACAACAAACAGTTTATCCATTTTCTCACTTTCTACCCCTTGCCTTTGGCACCCACCAACCTGTTCTCTATATCCAAAAGCTTGTTTGGATATAAAGATAGAGATATATGGAGAGAGATTCCACAGAGATCATATAGTATTTGTCTTTCTCTTCTTTATTTTAAATTATTTCAAAATTTATGTTGGAAATGTTCATTTATGATTTGGTAGATTAACCAGTTATTATACCATGGAAAATTTTCAGTATCTGGAAATGGCCTTAATTATATATATATTTTATTGATTTTTTACAGAGAGGAAGAGAGAGGGATAGAGAGTTAGAAACATGGATGAGTGAGAAACATCGATCAGCTGCCTCCTGCAAGCCCCCTACTGGGCACGTGCCCGCAACCAAGGTACATACCCTTGACCAGAATTGAACCCTTCAGTCCGCAGGCTGACGCTCTATCCACTGAGCCGAACTGGTTTTGGCAATAACATTTTTTTTTAAATGTTGATAAGAATTAATATAATGATTTGAAAAATACTCACCTACTCATCATCCCATCTAATAAAAGGGTGATATGCAAATTAACCATGACTCCATCACAAAGATGGTGGTGCCCAGTCTCCTCAGCTCCGCCTGAGTCCCCCAGTCCTGGGGGGCAGCCACTGAGAGCAGGCAGCCTGAGCAGCCTGGCGGAATGTTTGCTTCATCGCCAAGGCAACCATTCTGCCCCAGCTCCAGGGAGGGCCTCTGGGCAGCAGCCTCCACTGCTGAGCACAGGCCCGGAGAGGAAACAGCAGGCCTGCCTCCCACAGAAGGGGAGTGTTTTATGTAAAGTTAAAAAATTAGGTAAACCTAATTCATGGTGTTAACAATCAGAATAGTAGTTAACTTTGGGCAGAAAGGGAATGATCGGGAGGGGTGATGAGGTAGAAGGTTACTCTGGGATGTGAGTAAAATTTTATTTCTTCAACTGGGTGCTGGTTACACAATTGTGTTCACTTCATGAAAATTCGTCAAACTGTACACTTATGAATTGTAAACTTTTCTACATGAATACAATACTTCAAATTTAAAAGTTTAAAATATAATTTTAATACTTGCTCGGTAGAGCAGGCAAATCATCATATAATTTGTTTTATTAATCATGCAACAAATTACACAAAGCCTAAGGGTTCAAAACTCAGATAACAATTTTTTAAATGTTGATAAGAATTAATATAATGAGACTATTACTAAGTAGTAATGATTTTGGAAAATATCCACCTACTCATCATCCTATCTAATAAAAGGGTAATATGCAAATTAACCATGATTCCATCACAAAGATGGTAGTGCCCAGTCTCAGCCCCGCCTGAGTCCCCCAGTCCTGGGGGGGGTAGAGAGGGCAGAAGCAACGGGCGGCCTACTGTGCGCGATATTGCACGATGGGCTACTAGTTTTTAATATTCTACAATTTGTTGCATGATTAATAAAGCAAATTGTATGATGATTTGCCTGCTCTACTGAGCAAGTTTTAAAATTATATTTTAAACTTTTAAATTGTTAACACCACGTATTAGTTTTACCTAATTTTTTTTTTTAATATATTTTATTGATTTTATATAGAGAGGAAGGGAGAGAGATAGAGAGTTAGAAACATCGGTGAGATGAGAGAGAGTCATCGATCAGCTGCCTCTTGCACACCCCCTACTGGGGATATGCCCGCAACCAGGGTACATGCCCTTGACCGGGATCGAACCCGGGACCTTTCAGTCCCCAAGCCGACGCTCTATCCATTGAGCCAAACCGGTCCCGGCAGTTTTACCTAATTTTTAACTTTACATAAGTAGACTCATACATTAAATATATTTAAATTAAATAAAGTAGAAGCTGTACTAAGACATAAATCAGGTCTATAACTATAGGTTATTTTGAACTCAGAAATGACTTTTTAAAATTGTCTTTACCCATCGCTTATGATATTAATCATAATAATAGTTATACTTGAAAAAATAAGGTAGCAATCTAAAACACTATTATTAAACTATGTATTTATTTTTTGCATATCTTCTTGTATTCTTTGCTCATATTCTTTGTATTTTACAGTAAAGGGTAGGAGGGAGGGGGTTCTTTTTTAAAGTTAGAGACATACTTTTTTATTTATTTTTTTAACAAAAGTAGACATTTATTATCAGTTACAAAGCAGGCTGCTTCTCTGAGCAGAGGTCAAGGCGATTGCACCCTAAGGGTCTGAGCAGCCCCATGCATTTAATGGAGGTAAGCTGTGGCAGGAGCTCACCTACGACCCGTTACACGGAGGCGTGTCCGGCCCTACAGACAGCCCCGAGCACCTCCGTCCGCGCCCTTTATTTCATAGGACACATTGTGGATGGGCAGCTTTAACGTCACACAGGAACCCTCACGTGCTCAGAGAATTCCCTCTAAGAGGGAGGAACGAGAGGAGGGCCGGCCCACGGATGGCCTTGTGCCCCGAGGCCCCATGGAGCCACCGCCCCGTTACGCTCCTGCCCCCACAGTCCCTGCCTTCCATTCACTGCCAGATAAATAGACGAGTGAGTCGTCACTGCACAGCCCCACCTGCCTCGGGACTCCTGGAACCTGGGAGGCCCTTACTGTCCGGGTCCAGGGCGGTGATCTCCTCACAGAGCGGGACGATGGGCTTCTGGGCGCTTGGTCGGCGCTGGGCGCGTCCCCCGCAGACCATGGGGATGTGGGCGAGGAGTGAGTCTGGCCGCTGGGCCCCCAGCCAGACGTCCTGGATGTGCAGGGACAGCAGGAAGGCGGCGAAGGCTCGCGTGGCTTCCTCCTTGTCGTCCAGAAAGCCAGGCAGAGTGTCTCCATGGCCGGGAGCAGGCCCCCCCACACACACACAGGGGCTCAGGGCCGCCGTCAGTGGCAGCATCAGCGAGTTGAGCTCGGGCGCCGGCCTCGGTGCAGAGCCGGCTGTACAGCTGGAACAGGCCGCCCCTCAGCGCGCCGTCGGCAAGGAGCCGGGCCACAACCTCTGGCTGCCGCTCCACGTGGGCCCGCAGCCAGCCCAGGAGGCCCGCAGCCTCAGCCCCGCTGAACTGGCCCTCGGTCGCCATGCACAGCACCCAGCTGACCACCAGGGTGGCGACGGTGCACGCGGGGCCGTGGGGGCAGCCGAGTCCCAGGGCCGGGGAACACAAGTCCCCAGTGGGTCAGGATGGACTGCAGGAGACCCCTGCACGTAGAGACATACTTAAGCCCAGCCAGTGTTGCCCAGTGGTTGAGCATTGACCCATGCAGTAAAAGGTCACTGGTTCTATTCCCGCTCTGGGTACATGCCCAGGTTTCAGGTTCAATCCCTGGTAGGGGGCATGCAGAAGGCAGCCAATCCATGTTCTCCTTCATAGATGTTCTCTCTCATTGATGATTCTGTCTACCCTTTTCTCTTCTCCCTCTAAAAAAAAAATCTATGAAAACATTTTTTTTTAAAGACATACTTTAACTGTAGTTTGGTTTCTTTCTCTTTTTTAAAATATATTTTATTGATTTTTTACAGAGAGGAGGGAGGGGGATAGAGAGCTAGAAATATCGATGAGAGAGAAACATCGACCAGCCACCTCCTGTACACCCCCTACTGGGGATGTGCCCGCAACTGAGGTACATGCCCTTGACCAGAATTGAACCTGGGACCCTTCAGTCCGCAGACCAACGCTCTATCCACCGAGCCAAACCGGTTTCGGCAGTAGTTTGGTTTCTTAATGCATTATAAGCATTTTCTATATCATTGTATGGCCTTCATAGATACAAAGTGCATGGGAATCACAAAGAAATAAGAAAGTACGGCAAGGCCCTAACTTTTCAAATACAAAGTTTCAACCATTAATTAAAGTACCCTGTAACCAGAACCTATAGGAATGATCAATCTTTATACATACCAGGATATAAAGAACCTCAATAAGAAAAAAATAATCTCTGGAGAAGAAGACTTAGCCAAGCAACTGAAAATGTGATGAATAGGCATCATTCCTAACAAGAGGCTATGGAAGAGAAAGTGCAAGATAGTAATGAAGGGATGAATAACAAATTAGAGACCCAGTTATTAATTTAAGCCTTATCTGAACACTTTTATTTCCCTTTCTGCTTTAAGTATACCCACATGCAGAGCATACAGTGTGCATGCATGTATGCATAATTAATTTGGGTATTTTTACTTGCTGTTTGTATTAACCAAACTTCAGGATGTATGTCTGTTTTCTACCAGAATAAATTATATTAGTTTTAAATTCAGTTTTGTTTATTTTAGCATTTAACCATGCCATATGTTACCTATTTGCTGGAAATGCCTATTTTGTATTTATTTATTTATTTAGCTTCTATATTTTTAAAAAATATATTTTATTGAGGTTTTTTTTTTACAGAGAGGAATAGAAAGCCAGAAACATCAATGAGAGAGAAACATTGATCAGCTGCCTCCTGCACACTCCCCACTGGGGATGTGCCTGCAACCAAGGTATACCCTTGACCGGAATTGAACCTGGGACCCTTCAGTCCTCAGGCTAATGCTCTATCCACCGAGCCAAATCAGCTAGGGCTATATAACTTCTATCTAAGCGGACTAAAAGTGAAGTCATGGTATGTAGGATTTTCTTGTTTTATTAGAATAGGACAAAATTAGTAATTTATACTTTAAAAGCTAATTGTTGCAATTCTGGAGAATTTTTGAAAAGTTCTTTTTTAAATAAAAATTAGTTGCTATTCTCTAAATTGCGTATATTTTAAATGTGTTCTTTGGAGGGTGGTTGAAATATTACTCAGATGTCTATTTGATATATTTTTAAAATATATTTTATTGATTTATTACAGAGAGGAAGAGAGAGGGATAGAGAGTTAGAAACTGATGAGAGAGAAACATTGATCAGCTGCCTCTTGCACACCCCCTACTGGGGATATGCCGGCAACCAAGGTACATGCCCTTGACAGGAATCCAACCTGGGAGGGAGGGAGGGAGGGAGAAAGAGAGAGAGAGAGAGAGAGAGAGAGAGAGAGAGAGAGAGAGAGAGAGAGAGAGAGAGAAACATCAATGTTGAGAGAGAATCATTGATCAGCTGCTTCCTGCACACCCCACACTGGGGATTGAGCCTGCAATCCAGGCATATGCCCTGAATGGAAATCGAACCATGACTTCCTGGTTAATAGGTTGATGCTCAACCACTGAGCCATGCCAGCTGGGTCATATTTTAAAATGTGTGTGAGGTTGAAGCAAGAGTTGGAAGACTGTCCAGGAATGTTATATCAAAGGAAAACTCATAGTTCATCTATGAGTTTCAGAGTACATTTGTTTAAAATACCAATTTTTATTTTTAACAATAAAGTAATAGTTCAACCTACCATAAATGCTTTTATTATATCTTCATAGTAAATATTTATGCTGTGTAGACACACGGTTAGTTATTTACAGTATTATGTAATTAAATGTAGATTTGTGTATTTGTTATAATTTTCTTTAAAGTGGTATGCCTTTTGTGTCTATGTGAATTGGTCCTTAAACAGTTTTTAAGATGGTGGAGTTACCTTAGGGATGGTACTTTTATGTGAAGCTGCAACATCTGACATGGATATTGGAAAGCGAAAGAGTAAGTCATATCATACGCCAATCTACCTTTAATCCAGGAAAAAAGCATGTCCTCTAATCACTTTCCCTCTTGTTTATAAGTATGTTATTTTACTTCTTTACTATTTTTAAAGTAATTATAGAAAATGTGATGTGAAATAGGAGTATGAAACATTTGGGCGGAGAGTTATCCATTATTCCACCACTAAAAATAAGTAATTTTAATGTTGTAATATAGTTCTATCCATTATGTAAAACATCTTTTAAGTTGTAGTATCACATTTTGAGTCTCGTACTCCCCTTTTTTAACTGGAGTTAAATAATTCACTAATAAATATTTTCCTCTGCATAATTTTGAATTTATACTCTATACTGTAATTTACTTAACCATTCTGATTTTTTGCTTATATTTAGTGCGCTTTTTTCTTTCATTATTATAAAGTCTTCTTTAGTGAGTATCATGGTATATTAAGCTTTTTCCTCATTTCATATTAATATCTTAAGGGAGGGGGAGAAAAAGGTTCAATATATGTGACAAGAGAAGATTTGACTTTGGGTGTTGAGCACATGGTGCAATATACAGATCTTGTAACATAGAAACCCACACCGGAAACCTATATGTTCAAGTTGTCCAGTTTCACCCCAAAATAAAAATAAAAACTAAAAAAAAACCACAATAGCTTAAGGTAGATTCCTAGAAATAGAATGACTGTGTGGTTCTGTGTGTGGGTAGTTTCAATTCTGTTGATGTTTTAAATTGATGATGCCAACTTCTTTTCCCAAATATTACAATAATTTAGATTCCTACTAGTGGTATTTAGGAATGCTTCTTTCACTGTAACTTTATCAGCATTAGGTAACCCCCTTAACAAAGCATGCGTACATGTGTATTTATTGTCTAATCAGACAAGGGGGAGATGTTATATTATATTGTACTTCATTGGTTATTAGTGAAATTGAATATTTTCCTAAATACTTATTAGCTGTTTGTGCATTGGTTATTAGTGAAATTGAATATTTTCCTAAATACTTATTAGCTGTTTGTGCTTTTCTTTCTGTAAAACATCTTTTTTGACTTTTGCCATTTATCTGTTAGTCTTAGTCCTTTTCCTATTGGTTTGCATGGACTTTTTATATATTTGAATATTCACACATGGTATTTGTTGCAAAGTAATGCTAACAATATAGTTTTATTTTACTTTCATGAAATCTGTTTAAGTTCGAGTTTTCCTTTTATGGTTAAAAGTTAAAAGTCATCAAAATTAACTTAGCTAAATCTACTTACTTTTTCTTCTAAAAAATGATGACATTGGATTTCAAATTTTAAAGATATTTATTTTGCTACATTAATGTGAATTTTTACATATTAGGAAAATATAACTAATGTATCAATTTTTTATTCAGTTAATATACATCTTTTAATTGCTTGACTTTTTAAAAATTGCCTATTTCAGTATTCATTACTGGAAAAAAGCCATCTTGGTGCTACACTGCTGGCATGAATTTAAGTTGTAAAACACTTTGGAGACATTAAAATCATCACAATTTGATATACTTCTAAGATTCTAACCTAATGAAATAATCATAAATAATAAAAATTTCATTAGCACTTACTGTGTACCAGGAACTGCCCTAAGTACTTTTAGATATGTTCTGTGAAAAAAGTAAAATACAACATATAGAGTGATACTATATATATATATATGGTATCCCAAAAAATGTATACACACTTTGAAAATGTAATAGAATCAGCTGTTATATGTATTTTACATATGTTTAACTTTTACATTTAACCCCTAATCATATTGTGTGGGAATTAAAAAGGGAAAAAGAATTGTTCTAATATAAGAAAACTAAAATTTGTTTTCAGTATTGGCCAATAAGTATATTTCACTCAAACCTCCACTGCTGTAGCACACATGCTTTCCTACATCCCTACCTTTATGCTTCGTAGCCAGTCTTAGTCCAGGGACTCAAAGAGTCTCAAGTTATGGGAATCATACTTGAGCATTGTGGGATCAGTATATGGAGTTAAAGTCATTAACTTCTATGCTAAACCAGAGCATATGAGATTAACCCAAAGAGCTATGAATTTAGGAATCAGGGTTTCTCCCCCTTATTTAAATGAGGCATCCATGTTGAATGAGTTCCTTATGCAGGCAGTGTAGTTATTTATGCATGGGTACTTTCAAGTGACATTGTTACAATGTGATCAGATATCTTTAAATCAGTATCAAAAAAACCATATTTAAGGGTTTAAAAGGAGTTTAATAAGTAATTTTCTTATTGATATTCGATAATAAAACTTTTTAACACTAAATTCTTGATTATCATGGCATGAAAGGAATTCATAAATTCATACAATTAAATTATACAATTATGCAAATGAAGCTACTCTAGTATATTGTAATAGAACAAATTAAAGGGGAAGGCAGAATCCTGAAGAGAAAAGAATGGGGATGGAAAGTTGAGATTTACCAATAAGTTATAGCTTTTGTTTTTTCACTCTTGAAAGTGTAGACTAAAATGTATGCACTGGTTACACTTCTTAACATGCTCATTTTACTCTGCTTTTGTTTTTCCACAGTAATGTGTGTGGCTGGTATTGGACTCGTTGTATTATTCTTCAGTTGGTTGCTCTCTATTTTTAGATCTAAATATCATGGATATCCATATAGGTATGATTTATATAATGATTACCTATATTTACAAAGATCAGAGCTTAAGCTGCTTTATAATACTTTCTGTTTGCTTTTTCTTCTAGCTTGTAAAGCAAAGAGATAGGCTTTAATTTAATTTAGGTATATATCATATAAAATTAGTTTAATTATATAATGCACAATGGTATTTGATTTCTCAGGATCATCTTTCATGGTCATTCTAACATCACCTAATTTAATCTAGAAATCTATAGAACAAAATAATTAGAACATTTTATACTATATCTACTTACAATAATTCCTTATGTGAATGCAATACTATCTCTTGAGGGGGAAATTATTACTATTTTTTAAATCTTTACTCGAGGATATTTTTTAGACAGAGTGGGAGGGAGGGAGGAGGAAGAGGAGAGAGAAAGGCAACACATCAATTGGTTGCCTCCCACACACAACCAAGGTACATGCCCTTAACCAGGAATCGAACTTGTGGTCCTTCGATGCTCTATGCCAGTGGTCGGTAAACTCATTAGTCAACAGAGCCAAATATCAACAGTACAACGATTGAAATTTCTTTTGAGAGCCAAATTTTTAAACTTAAACTTCTTCTAACGCCACTTCTTCAAAATAGACTCGCCCAGGCTGTGGTATTTTGTGGAAGAGCTACAATCAAAGGGCCAAAGAGTCACATGTGGCTTTGCAAGCCACAGTCACATGTGGCTTGCGAGCCACAGCTCTAAGCAATGAGCAAAATCGGCCAGGGCCAGGGGATAATTATTTTTAAATGTTTTTGAAGACTTTTTACCTCTACTTTTCAAGGCTCTTTATGCCATAAACAGAACATTTGATGAAAATCCATTTTGTAGACAGTGTACAAAAGAATGTGTAAGAACATCTTGAAATGTTCATAGGCTCAGGAAGGAAATTAATCTCCTGGTTATAAGTTATCAATTTTACTCTGTTAATAGCCAAGAGAAATGTACCTACATAAATTGGGATTGTTGTGATTTAGTTTAATTTTATAACCTGACTGCCAGTTACTATAATTCCTAGTCTTTTAATACAACATTTTCCTGTTAGATAAATGATTATGAACACTAAAGGTAAAGTATGTCCAATGATATTTTTAAACCTAAATTCAATCTTTATATTTTAACACAACTTTTTCATATATAATTTTGAACAACTCTCTAGTTGATTCATTATATTGTGACATTCTTAGATGCTTTTTAATCAGTGAAAAATATAAATTAATCTTGCATTTTTTTCTTGCAAACTTATTTAAGACTAAAACCTAGTAGGTCTTGATTCTTGACTTATAACCTACCAACTTTATACTTTCATTGCACTGTGTAAGTATATTTTAAAGTAACTTCTCTTCTGTAGAATACTAACTGGGATACAAGGGTAATTTTGCTGGGACTTCTGTTACTTATTTGATAATTATGATTACTTCAATTATTAATTGGTATCTATCTTTAGAAGATATTTTTAAAAATATTTTTATTGATTTCAGAGAGGGGGAGATAGAAATATCAGTGATGAGAGAGAATCACTCAGTCGGCTGCCTTCTGCACACCCCACACTGGGACTCACATGTTCCACACTGGAGATCAAGCTGTGACCTTCTGGTTCATAGATCAACTCTCAACCACTGAGCCATGCCAGCTGGGCTCTTTAGGAGATATTTTATTTTTTTATTTTTAAATATATTTTATTGATTTTTTACAGAGAGGAAGAGAGAGGGATAGAGAGTTAGAAACATCGATGTGAGAGAATCATCGATCAGCTGCCCCATGCACACCCCCCACTGAGGATGTGCCGGCAACCAAGGTACATGCCCTTGACCGGAATCGAACCCGGGACCTTTCAGTCCACAGGCCAAGCTCTATCCACTGAGCCAAACCGGCCTCGGCTTTAGGAGATATTTTAACTTGAAGTTATATCTATTACATTTTCTCTTCTAAGGCTACCACAGTATCTCAGGGTTTCTCACTTTTTGTTATCGATATTCAAAGTTTATTATACATACATTCAAACATTCTTTGCTATGTTAAAATCAAGCTATTTAAAGCCTACTTTTCTTTCAGAGACTAATAGATTGTTATATATTTTTGTTTCAGCTTTCTGATGAGCTAAAAAGGATCCCAGAGATATATAAACACTGGAGTAATGGAAATTGAAAAATGAAAAAGTTGCGTGTATGAAAAGAAGAATGCAATTTGTGTATTTTGTATTACCTCCTTTTTTAAGTGATTTTAGTTAATCATTTAACCAAAGAAGATGTGTAGTGCCTTAACAGCAATTTCCTATCATAATCATTAAGTATTTGAATACAATTTTCCTCTTTACCTACCCTTCCCAGTGAATTTTATGGAATCTTTAATTTGGTAATACTGAAAATTTCATGAAAATTTCAAAACTACGATTCAATCTTAATTAGAACAAGGTTCAAAACTGCTTTAGTTAACTTTTGGCCAAATGATTTTATCTTACCCAAAGATGGTAGTGGGGGGTTGGTTCTGACCAGGTGTTCCTGCATATGCCTGTTATAGACAACTGCATCAGGAAGCCAATGTTAGCTTTTCCATTTTTGCATGGATGTGTATACTTTTGCACATCTTTCCTTTCGGGCAGAGAAGTCATATGTGCTATGTGATCTTCTGAAAACAATACCATTCTTTAAAGTACATGTCTAGCTTTTAGGGGAAAAAAAAGTAGCTAGTCCTCCTCCTCCATCTTCCCTATTGAAATACAGTACTGACTGTCTATGCTTCCTGGTGGCTGTAGATGTTTAAAAAAAAAAGTATCTCTAAAAAACAGGATCATGATTGCTGCATAAGTATGGAAGTAACTACCTTGTATTTGGAAAGATTTCAGGTTCATTCTGTCTCCCTAGTTTTATTTAAGGTAGCCAACTCTAATAAAAATGTAGCTAAAAATCAATGTAACTTAAAAATGTTTCAAAATGTTTGCAAATTTGAGATTGTCACTTATTTCATTTGTATCTAAGAGGAAAAAAAATAGGCTTATCTGGTTAATTTGATTACTGTATTACAGTTACAAAAATTTTTTTAGTTACAAAATATTTTAATAATCCTTGTGTTTAGGAAAATAAGTCCCCAAGGTTAGGAAAAGATGGTTATGAAATAATTGTTATTGCCTGTGAATAGAAAGTAAATGTTTCTTGAAAGCTATTCTGTTTTTGCTATTATTGTAGCCTTTATTCTCCACTTTAAGTGGAGAAACAAAGTAAACATTTAAAAGGGTTTTGTTTGAATTTTGTCTTTTTTTTTTTTTTTTTTGGTCAGTGGAAATAACCATATGTGCTAAAGAAATTTCTTTGAAGAATGAAAGTTGATTGTTATAATTAGATCTAGCTATAATCTTCTCATAGTTATGAACAGTATACTGAAATGACATTATGAGAATTATGATTGATAAAAATTTTTAAAGAAACTTGAGGAATATTGAATCAAAATAATACTGTGACTGCCTTCTACTATTTACTATCTAATAAGTCTTTCATGTGATCTAGAAGTCTTATATAATAGAGGTTTGCAGAAAAAGATGGATATAATTGTATAAGAAGAAATTTTTATGTAGGATCTTTTTGTGTTTTTCATTAGATTTGGTGGGTGGAGGTATATTGTCAACCTTTTACTCTTTATTTTATTTTTATTTTTTAATTTTTTAGACCAACAGTTTTATTAAAAAATCAAGACAAAACAAATTAAGTAGATAAACAAAAAAAGAGTTCAGCGAAGTCCCTCTACCGCCAGGATCCTGGCGGTGTCCGCCTCAAGCTTGGGCATCTGGGAGTCCTGCAGCCTGCGGCTGCGCGGCAATTTATAGCGACTCCGGGAACCCGGAGACACGCAGATGCACGCAGAGCTGACAAGGAAAACCTTTTACTCTTTAATGGAGCCACTTTTTGTTAGTTACTCCCCTATAAATTTTGTGATTCTGGATACCTTATCTTCTGTTCTTGTACATGTCTCAGGCCAAATAAATTCATGCTGTGATTCCTATGAGACTTGTATTAAAATGCCCTAATCTATATAGACTGATCAAGAAAATACTACTGTCATGTAATCTGTATAGCTCCAGATACTTTGCCATAAGCATTAAAATAATGACAGTTTTGTTGCATTTGTTTTATCTCCCTTAAGAGCACATTCTTTTTCTGTAAGGAGAAAAGTTGCATTCTGGCTAAAATCTGTAGAAAGCAAGTTTACTACACTTAGAATAGTGTTAACTTTGTGAAAATTTTGAAATTAGCTTTCATATGAAGTGCCTTAGACTCTTTACTTTTCTAGTAATGGTTTAAATATTATTTGTTATACATTTTAAAAATACTATTCAAAATGACACATTGTAGTGGCAAAAATAACCAAATGTCTGGCTGTTTGCTTTTTGACCATGTCAATAAACTTTTACAATCTAAATTCTGAGTTTTTTATTAACATAAAAGGGGGGTGAATTTAAAACTCTAAACTACTAGTATTGTAATATTATGATATTCCATTTTGAAAAATATAATTAACTTTCTTATTGTCCTAATGACTGAATTTGATGGCTGAAGGAAATTCTAGGTTGAGTTGCATTCTTCCAGGATTCCATATGTTATCCTTCATTAGTGTAATCACCCATTAGATTAGTCAAAACAGCCAAGATAAGTAGATGAATAGCTGTTTTCAATGGTTCATCTAGCTTTTGTCCCAGTCAGTGAACACTGTGACTAGTTAATTCCTGTTTGGTACTAAATAATTGATTTGAAAGTTACCCAGACAGATTATCAAGTTATATGGTACTGGACCACAGTACATTTGCAAACATGGAGTAGAAACACTGGACAGGAAGTAAACAGACCTGGCTTTTAAATAACTTTTAGTCTTTACTCTGTTTCTGTCTAGGTATGTGACCATAGGAAAATCACTTGAACCTCCCTGGACCTATTTATTTTAATGTGAGTGCTGTGGACTAAATCACTCCAGTGTTCCATCTAACACTGATGTTCTGTGATGCAAAATATTAAAGATGTATTTAAATTTTGAATAGATATCATTGGTGATTTTCAGATTTAGTGTTGAATTAAATCAATTGAAATGTAGGATTTTTAAAAATATATTTTGACTTTTTACAGAGAGGAAGAGAGAGGGATAGAGAGCCAGAAACATCTATGAGAGAGAAACATCGATCAGCCGCCTCCTGCACACCTCTCACTGGGGATGTGCCCGCAACCAAGACACGTGCCCTTTATCAGAATCAAACCTGGGACCCTTCAGTCCGCAGGCCAAACCGGTTTCAGCTAAAATGTAGGATGTTTTATAGTCAGATTTATGAGGAAGCTGAAATGTTTGTGGAGGCCATGATTACTGCAAATTCTATCCAATAAAAGAGTAATATGCAAATTAACCATCACTCCACTGTACCCACAAGCTATTCAGGAGCAAGTATGCAAAGTAACCCAACCAAGATGGCTGAGGCCACAGAGAGAGAAGGAGGGAGACTTGGGTTTCCCAGTGGTAGAGGAAGCCAAGCTTTCTGCACACCCTGGCCAGCCCAGGCCTCTGCTGAAGGCTACAAAGTTTCAATTATAGAAGATAAATAAGTCCCAACAGGAATGGCTGCCACCATGGAGCCAGCTGAAGGCTTGGCTCTGCTTCAGGCTACAAAGTTTCAATTGTAGAAGATAAATAAATCCCAGATACCAGGGCCTCTGGGTCACTGGGGTGTGTGTGTGTATGTGGCCAGCCTGCAAACCACCACAGGCCCCTCACCCAGGCTGTCTCACGCCCCAAGGGAACCCCTACCCTGATCTGGGACACCCTTCAGGGCAAACCAGCTGGCCCCCACCCATGCACCAAGCCTCTAATAAAAGAGTAATATGCAGATTGACCATCTCTCCAACATACAAGATGGCTGCCCCCATGTGGACACAAGATGGCCAGCAGGGGAGGGCAGTTGGGAGGAACCAGGCCTGCAAGGGAGGGCATTTGGAGGTGATCAACCCTGTGGGCGAGTGCAGTTAGGGGTGACCAGGCTGGCAGAGTAGGAAAGTTGGGGGCAAACAAGCTGGCAGGGGAGCAGTTAGACATCAATCAGGGTGGCAGGGGAGTGGTTAGGGGGTGGTCAGGCAGGCAGACAGGTTAGGGGCATTCAGGAAGGCAGGCAGGCGAACAGTTGGGATTGTGAGAAAGATGTCCGACTGCCCATTTAGGCCTAATTCCACTGGGATCAGGTCTAAACGGGCAGTCAGACATCCCTCAAGGGGTCCCAGATTGGAGAGGGTCAGGCTGGACTGAGTGACACCCCCCTCCAGTGCACAAATTTCATGCACTGGGTTGTTTAATAATATGCATTGAAATATGTTTTAGAAAGGATATACTTGAAACCAATATATTAATAGCACATCTTCAATTAAATGGGTTCTGACAAATTGTAAGCAAGGATAAAATTAAGAGGGAAAAAAGGGGGGAGAATATGAAGTATTTTCTTTAACTACAAAGGACCCAAACCAGAAATCAGTAACAGAAAGGAAATTTGGAAAATTCATAAATATGTGGAAATTAGTGTATTTTTAAATTGATTTTAGAGAGGAAAGGAGGGAGAGAGACACCATCGGTTGCCTCACACATCACACCAACCTGGGATCAAACCCAAAACCTGGGGATGTGCCCTGGCTGGGAATCGAACTCACCACATTTTGGTATATAGGATGACACTCCAACCAAATGAGCCACACTATCCAGGCAAACAGTATATTTTCTTTCTTTTTCCTCTTGACATACAGAATATTATTTAGAAACTATTTAAAGTAGAAAAACAGCCCTGCCAAGAAAGGCAAGGTAGAAAATGGGTTCCCAATAAAATTGAATTTTAGGGCAATAAAAATTAAAAGGCCACAAAATAGAAATAGCACCGCTGTTATTTGAACAATGGCAAGTTACTTGCATGTCTGGCATTGTCAATCAATGAATCTGTTCTTGGTTTTTTCTCTGAATTCCACACTGCATGCACAACATGACAATTTATCATAAAATACCTGCTTTCTGCACACATTTTTAGACAAACTACCAGCAGAAAAAATGAATACAGTTGCATCAGAGGCTGGTCAAGCTCAGAAGTGGTGACAT